TCTGTAACCATTGGGCCATGTTGTTGTTTTTTGAAAAAAGTTTCTGGGTTTTAAATTTCTGTGTGCTGGGTGGCTGGGGGAACAGTTGAGGAGGGGTTTGCAGGAATCTGGGAGCTTGTGTGCTTTTTTTTGAATTTTTATGGTTTTCTGTAACCATTGGGCCATGTTGTTGTTTTTTGAAAAAAGTTTCTGGGTTTTAAATTTCTGTGTGCTGGGTGGCTGGGGAACAGTTGGGGAGGTGTTTGCAGGAATGTGGTAGCTTGTGTGCTTTTTTTTGAATTTTTATGGTTTTCTGTAACCATTGGGCCATGTTGTTGTTTTTTGAAAAAAGTTTCTGGGTTTTAAATTTCTGTGTGCTGGGTGGCTGGGGGAACAGCTGGGGAGGTGTTTGCAGGAATCTGGGAGCTTGTGTGCTTTTTTTGAATTTTTATGGTTTTCTGTAACCATTGGGCCATGTTGTTTTTTTTTGAAAAAGTTTCTGGGTTTTGAATTTCTGTGTGCTGGGTGGCTGGGGGAACAGTTGAGGAGGGGTTTGCAGGAATCTGGGAGCTTGTGTGCTTTTTTTTGAATTTTTATGGTTTTCTGTAACCATTGGGCCATGTTGTTTTTTTTGAAAAAGTTTCTGGGTTTTGAATTTCTGTGTGCTGGGTGGCTGGGGGAACAGTTGAGGAGGGGTTTGCAACAGTTGGGGAGGGGTTTGCAACAGTTTTGTATGTGCTGGGGGAACAGTTGAGGTTTTTGAAGACTTTGGTGATTTTTAAAGCTTTCCCAAAATTTCTTTTGCAGCCATTTGAGGATTTTGAAGACTTTGGTGATTTGCAGCCATTTCGTAAGTTAAACTTTTAAAACTGTTGTTGGGGGTTTTGGATTTTGGGTTGGGTGTTTGGAATTCAAGGACTTGGTTGTGGGTTTGAATTGCTGATTTTTTTTTCTTTTCTGAGTTTTACAAAGGTAACAGCTGTGCTGCCATGGGACCCAAGAAGACTGCTGCTGCTGCGGAGGCCGGCGAGAGGAAGAAGGAGAAGGTGACGCTGGAGATGAAGAAGGAGATCATCCGGAAGCACGACGGTGGAATGCGTGTGACGGACCTCGCCAGGGAGTACGGCAGGAACCCATCGACCATCGGGACCATCCTGAAGATGAGGGAGAAGATCCTTGCGACTGATGCAGCCAAGGGAGTCACCAGGATCGTGAAGAACCGCCCAGCTGTTCTGGAGGAGGTCGAGAAGTTGCTCCTCATCTGGATAGAAGAGAAGCAGCGTGCAGGGGACACAGTGACTGAGGCCGTGATTTGTGAGAAGGCCAAGGCCTTGCACGCAGACCTCATCCGGGAACAGCCAGGAACCTCGGCCGAGCCAGAAGTCTTCAAGGCAAGCAGAGGCTGGTTTGACCGGTTCAAGGCAAGATCCGGAATCCACAGCGTGGTCAGGCATGGAGAGGCTGCCAGTTCTGATGTTCCTGCGGCTGAAGACTTTGCCTTGGAGTTCCTGGAGGTTGTGAAGACGGAGGGCTACGTTCCACAGCAGGTCTTCAACTGCGACGAGACCGGGCTGTTTTGGAAGAGGATGCCCAAAAGGACTTTCATCACTCAGGAGGAGGCCAAGTTGCCTGGCCACAAGCCCATGAAGGACCGTCTGACCCTGCTCTTCTGTGCCAACGCAAGCGGCGACCTGAAGATCAAGCCCCTGCTGGTGTACCACTCGGAGAACCCACGGGCCTTCAAGAAACACAAGGTCGACAAGGAGCGGCTGAGTGTCATGTGGCGATCCAACAGCAAGGCTTGGGTCACACGTGTGCTGTTTGTGGACTGGGTCAATCTTGCCTTTGGCCCTGCTGTCAAACAGTACCTGCTGGACAATGACCTGCCGCTGAAGGCTTTGCTTCTGATGGACAATGCTCCTGCTCATCCTAAAGGCCTTGAGGTGGACTTGTTGGAGGAGTTCAGCTTCATCAACATCATGTTCCTGCCGCCTAACACCACGCCACTGCTCCAGCCGATGGATCAGCAGGTCATCGCCAATTTCAAGAAACTCTACACCAAGGAGCTTTTCAGGCGATGCTTCGAGGTGACTGATTGCACCACCATCACCCTGCGGGAATTCTGGAAGGACCACTTCGACATCGTCACCTGCTTGAAGATGATCACCACGGCCTGGAAGGGGATCAGCCAGAGGAATTTGAATTGCGCTTGGCGCAGCCTGTGGCCGGACTGTGTGGCACCAAGTGACTCTGATGCACCAGAGTCGACAGTGGTGCAGGACATTGTTGCCTTGGGGAGGACCTTGGGCCTGGAGGTCACAGAGGAGGACGTTTGCGAGCTGGTGGAGGAGCACGACGACGAGCTGACCACCCAGGAGCTGGTTGCACTGCAGTCAGAGGTTGCGCAGGAGCAGGCCTCGCTGGAAGAGGAGGAAGCAACTGAGGAACGGCTGTCCTCCAAAGAACTGAGGGACATTTGCCAGAAGTGGAATGAGGTGCAGGCTTTTGCAGAGCGGCACCACCCTGACAAGCACGTGGCACATGACCAAGCGAACATTTTTGATACGACGGTCATGTCGCCTCTCAGGGAGCTGCTGAAACGGCGGATGAAGCAGCAGACCATGGACAGGTTCCTCAGCAAGAAGCAAAGAGTGGAAGAGGAACCTTCTTCGAGTGGTCCCCCAGAGTCTTAGAAAATGTAATGTACCCTTTTTTTGATTTTTAAATGTTTTTCCTGTCATGTTTAGAAACTTAATATAGTGTTCCTTCCAGTTGTGATATGCTCTTTAAAGTATGTGTGACTTTAAAGAGCAGTTAATAAACTCTTGTTGTACCGAATTTGGCTTTGATTGGACTTTTTTTGACCATAGGAACGCATTAATTGAATTTCAATGCATTCCTATGGGATTTCGTGCTTCGCAAGACGAAAAATTCGCTAGACGAAAAAACTCGCGGAACGAATTAATTTCGTCTTGCGAGGCACCACTGTACAAACATTGATTTTGATCTTTGAATTTCAGCATAGGAAAGGTTGCCATAGTTGTCATCTACCAAATGTTGACTCATCTCTGAGTGTGTGTGTGTGTCCCTGTCCCCAAGTTTCTTCCCTATGTTGCAACCATATGTATCATAATACGGGCTTTTGTAAGGGGGGGAGGCGTTGGTCAAAAGTGCACACCACTTGCAACATTTTCATCTTTAGGCAAATAGAAGGATCCTCCCGCTGCTGGAAATGTCATGCATTATGTCCCCGAGTGCTACTGCTTTAAACGAGGCTGTCAGGAAAGCCCTTCTTCACAAACACTATGCAACAGAAGGAAAGATCATTATTCCTCCCCATCGCTCTCTCCCCTCTTTCCCCCCCCACAACTGCACAATGTATATGGCAATAGGGTCTCATTCTGAATGTAAACAAACTGCAAAAAAGAAAGTGGAGGTACTATATGTATTTTACCTTATTTATTTGAAACACAAGAAATTCTTCAATAAAAACTAATTTTTTAAAAAATGCATAGCACAGCTTTGTTGTTGTTGTTGTTGTTTAGTCGTTTAGTCATGTCCGACTCTTCGTGACCCCATGGACCAGAGCACGCCAGGCACTCCTGTCTTCCACTGCCTCCCGCAGTTTGGTCAGATTCATGTTTGTAGCTTCGAGAACACTGTCCAACCACCTCGTTCTCTGTCGTCCCCTTTTCCTTGTGCCCTCCATCTTTCCCAACATCAGGGTCTTTTCCAGGGAGTCTTCTCTTCTCATGAGGTGGCCAAAGTATTGGAGACTGAGCTTCAGGATCTGTCCTTCTAGTGAGCTCTCAGGGCTGATTTCCTTCAGAATGGATAGGTTTGATCTTCTTGCGGTCCGTGGGACTCTCAAGAGTCTCCTCCAGACCATAATTCAAAAGCATCCATTCTTCGGCGATCAGCCTTCTTTATAGTCCAGCTTTCACTTCCATACATCACTACTGGGAAAACCACAGCTTTTACTATAAGGACCTTATATAGGATGTTTGTTGTTGTTGTTGTTTAGTCGTTTAGTCATGTCCGACTCTTTGTGACCCCATGGACCAGAGCACGTCAGGCACTCCTGTCTTCCACTGCCTCCCGCAGTTTGGTCAAACTCATACTGGTAGCTTCGAGAACACTGTCCAACCATCTCGTCCTCTGTCGTTAGGATGTTAGCAGGGGCATACACACACACACACACACACACACACACACACACACACACTGGATGTGAAATTGTTTTTATATGTGGCATTGCTTTGTTTCATATATGTCTTTATCGTTTGGTGTTTTTATTGTTAAATCGCTTTGAGAGGTTTCTGAGAAACCCATTCAGAAATGCAAATAAATTTATTTATCACAGGGCTCTGTGGGGGTCCCTGGAAGGGTAATTTAATGTGGAGAGGAGGAATCCTTCTCTGACAACCCATCCATTGCCTGCTGATTTATTTCTAGTTGGGATGTGAAACCAGAAGCTGTGGGACAGCCATTTCCATGGGAAAGAAGAGGCAGAGAAAGGAGTCCACACCTTTTCCCCATCCATCATGCAGTCCCGCCCACATTCTAACACACAGGTGTGCCTCCATCACATCTGGTTAGTATCTTTGGCAACTCGCTATTCCCCAACTTCTCATCTGCACACAGGAATAATAATAATAGCGGCAATAATAATAGATGGGTGTATCAAAGAAAGTCATTGTAAAAATGACTGAGATAATATATAGCAAGCAATTTCAACCCTTGAAACCTTGCGTGCATGCATGTGTGGGTGTTTGTGTGTATGGATTATATTAGATCCTTAAGATGATATATGTGTATGTGCATATGTGTGTGTGTATATACACACACACCCTAAAATATCATTATATACCTGCAGATTCCATCTCATCAGATCTGTTTTGTGCAATGTAAAAATTGGGTCATAAGTGTGGAGGCACCTACTCCTTTTTTACAATTTTATTTATAATTTTCATTTATGTACAACAATTATTCAACCATAATTTTAACATTTCCAACTTTGACTCCCTTCCCCCTCTTTCTGTGGTTCTTTACATTTATTTGCATCCTTTCATGCATACTCCAAATTAACTTACTCTTATATTCAGCTGTTCTCATATATATCTCTCATATATTTTTGAAACTGCAGGTTTTTACAACAATCCTGCCAATGTCTTGATCCGTTTACAGTTTATTTGTAAATACACAATAAACCATTTCCATTCCTTTCTTAAAAGTTTGATATCTTGATTTCTTATTCTTCCGGTAAGTTTCGCCATTTCTGCATACTCCATTAGTTTCTGTAACCATTCTTCTCTCATCGGGACCAATTCATCCTTCCACTTTGGGGCAAATAACATTCTTGCAGCTGTGGTCGTATACATAAATAAATTTCTATACTGTTTAGGTAGTTCTGATCCCCTAATTCCCAAGAGAAATGCTTCTGCTTCTTCTGCTTCTTTATCTTAAACATCTTTTTCAATTCATTATATATCATTTCCCAGTAGGCTTTAACCTTATTGCAAGACCAACACATATGGGAAAAGGTCCCTTAGATTTCCAACACTTATTCAATTTTGATTTATACAGTTTTGCCAATCTACTAGGTGTTAGGTACCATCTATATAACATTTTCATATAATTTTCTCTTAAACCATAACATGCTGTAAATTTTATATCTGTATTCCATAATCGTTCCCATGCTTCCATTTCTATTTTATGACTAATATCTGTTGCCCAATGTGGTACCTACACTTTGGAACTGCTTCCTGTTAAGTATCATCCAAACACTGTCTTCTTCCCTTTTTAACAAGTCGCCTAAGTGGAGGGTTGCTTTTTAAATAATAATAATCTCAATCAGTATTTGTACTGAGTGTAAATCGCTTTAATTATTTTTCTCTATTTAATTGCTTTATACATACTTTATTGTGGATGCTCATATGACCCTATTCTTTATTGTGAAATCACTTCAAGATGTTTCATAGGGAGGAATTCATAATGAGCAAATATCCTTGAGGTGCTGTAAAACGCCTTGGAGTTTCAGCTGGGTTTGACGCAGGCAGGTGTAACTCCTGAGATGGGTGAGTCACATTTCCCTCCAGCTTTGTTACAATGGTGAAGTTTAAAATGGTTCCTGAGTTCTTTCTTTCTTATATATTTTATCTCGCTTTCAGGCAGTTATTGAGTTGTGTCCGATGTAGGTTCTACTCAGAAAAGACCCACTGAAATTAATGGACATTATTTATTTATTACATTCATATACCACCTTTCTCCATGGCTACTGTAGGTCCATTAATTCTAATTGGCTTACTCTGAGTAGAAGTTTGTTGATTGTGACTCAGTGCCTCCCAAAATGGCTCACATCAATTAAAGAGAGAGAGAGAGAGAGAGAGAGAGAGAGATGGGCCTTGCCGTCAGCCTTACAAAGACAACATACACAAGGGAAGAGAAAGGGAGAAGATAGAGGCCAGAATGAAGCGGCAAACTTTACACTTGTTTACATTTTGTTGCATTTTCCATTTCACTTCCCATTCCCCCAATTTGGAGAGGTCTTGTCGGAACTCTTTACAATCCCTTTTAACAACCTAGAACAATTTAGTATCATCAGTAGCAGCATACATTCATATCCTACATTTGTCCTTTTATATTGGTCTTCTTTTTTCTCTCAGTACACCTATTGGCGATTTTATCTTAGCTAGGCAATTGGATTAAAATAATAATTAAAGGGCACGTGTGTTTCCTCCAAGAGAGGCCCAGAGGGTGACAACATGAGAACAGGCCTTTTCTGCGGTGGCTCCTCGTTTGTGGAATGCTCTCCCCTCCGAGGCTCGCCTGGTACCTTCATTACAGATCTTTAGGCATCAGACGAAAACCTTTCTCAATAACCAGGTTTTAGGCAGATTAAGCATTTTATGGCCCTTTAAATGTGTTTGTGGGAGAGGGTGAATTACTGGTTTGTTTTGGTTTTCATTTTATTGTGTATTCTGTGTTCTCGTTTTGTATGTTTGTGTTTTGAACCACACTGTGATCTTTGGATGAAGGGTGGTATGCAATTTTTTTTTTTTAATCACCTAACTTCTCACCCCTAACTCTAGAATGTTAAAAAATGCAGGTCCCTAAGGGACTCCACTTTTTGCATTTCTCCATTCAGAGATCTGTTCATTGATTCCTACTCTCTGCTCCTTAACCAATTCCTGAGCCACAAGAAGACCTGTCCGCTTATTCCACGACTCCTAAGCTTACTTGGGGGGTCTTTGGTGAGGGATGTTGTTGAAAGCAGCAAAATATAAAGACGGGCTAAGCTGATCATCCATTGCTGGTGCTTCTGTTTGAACGACAGTTGTTCGCTCGTGTTTCTTTGGCCTACAGTTGTCCTTTCCCTTTGGTTCTGCTGCACCAGGGCAACCTGCAGAGAGAATAAGAAGTTCTTTCTAGCAGGCAAGGACATAGGAAACTCCTGCACCGGCTCATTGGCAGCTGGTGGGGAGAAATTTGATTCGATTCACATTTAAAGGTGAACTTACATAATTCATACTTTCCAAAACAATATGAGAATACAAGACACGGCCAGCCTTTGAAATTGGCAGTTCTCTGAATTTTGCAATGCAGTTCCCCAGCCAGGATAAAATGTGCACATAAATATTTTCATGAGCGTTTTTAAAAGTAGCAATACAGTAATTGCAAACTGATGGGGAAAGTGTCGGGAACGGAGCTTAAGATTATTATTTTTTTATTTATGTAATAAAATTGATGTACCAGCTGATTGTGAGAAAACCATTATTGAAAAAAAGTACCAGTAATGGCTAGGGACGCGGGTGGCACTATGGGTTAAACCACAGAGCCTAGGACTTGCCGATCAGAAGGTCGGCAGTTCGAATCCCTGTGACAGGGTGAGCTCCTGTTGCTTGTTCCCTGCTCCTGCCAACCTAGCAGTTCAAAAGCACATCAAAGTGCAAGTAGATAAATAGGTACCGCTCCGGCGGGAAGGTAAACGGCGTTTCCATGCGCTGCTCTGGTTCGCCAGAAGCGGCTTAGTCATGCTGGCCACATGACCCGGAAGCTGTACGCCGGCTTCCTCGGCCAGTAAAGCAAGATGAGCGCCACAACCCCAGAGTTGGCCACGACTGGACCTAATGGTCAGGGGTCCCTTTACCTTTAACTTTGGACGGGTGTTTAAAAATATTCCAAAAGTGATTAAAATCAACAGTGGCTAAAATGAAACACATGTAGCTTCTTCATGTCTGGGTAGGCTTGCCTAAGCAAAAAATGTGTGTGTCCCTTCTCCTCTGTGGCTGCTTAATGCATTTTGTGGAGCTGGTTTTATCGTAGGACTATTTTGTTCTTTTATCCAGCTTTGCATTTCTTTCTGAGGAAGAAAATGGCATATCAGTTTTTAAATAAATGAATTAATAATTCCTTCCCCCTTTTGCCACCACCATTTCAGATTCTTCTCTGTTCTCTTCGAGGCCCAGCAGCTTTGTTTCCTCCCTAAAGAGCTAAACCTTAACCTATATTGCTTTAGGTCCAGGCCCCTGGCTTGCCATCTCGAAGGAATTCGCTTATCTCAAATCTTTTGTTGAGCCTTTAATCATCTGAAAACTGTCTGCATTCCAGCAAGAACTGGAAAAAGATCTTCCACAGCCAACCATTCTAGACAGTTGTTAGAAGCGGATACCCACAATGCAACAGTGCAACACGTTAAGGTTGTGCACTTGGGAGCAGACAAGCATTTTGACATTGACTTGGGCCTCCAAAGCAGAAAAACAGAAGACAAAGAAAGCTATTCCAAGATGTTGGTTGGCACCCAAGATGATTGTGACTACTTCTAGATAGGAATGGGGCAGGGGTGATAATGGGATGGGTCAGGGATGGCCCAATACATTTTCAGACCTGAGGCGAACCACAAAATAGCACCCCCCCTCGCCACCAGGGAAGAAGGTGTAAACAGAGATCTACATCACAAACAAGGGTGGACTAAAGAGCTACATTGGGATCTGCTGCCCTTGTGAATCCTGCCGCCTGAGGCAGTTGCCACTCATTGCCTCATGGGTCGGCTGGCCCCAGGATGGGTCATAGAAGTACCACTAGTTGGGATGTGTGATTGTGCCATTAGATGTGTCTCGTGGAATTCACTGCTCAAGTCTTTTTGATGGACACTGGCTTTAATGGCTTTAAAAGAAGCGTAAGTAAACTCTGATGGGTGCACCTGACAATGTTCCTTGAGCATTCATCTTGATTTGTTGACGGAGTTGTTTATATAACTTCCCATTTGTTCACCTCACCCTTTTTAGTGCTTCTCCCCTTCACTTTCCCAACTGCCAAAAAAAGCCTATTAAAAGAGTGGGTATGTTGCACAATGGCGGCACGGCACTTTAATCCACTCTGATTGTGCAAACCTACATTTCCAGTACACATTTGAATACCTCCCAGAAAATGGTGAAAGTCTAGAGGCAACCTGAGTTCAGAGGCAGTACGCTACTGAATGTTAACAAGGAAGAAGCTAATCATTACCTGCTTGTGGGCGTGCAGAGGGATGCTGTCATGTACTGAGCTGAATCCTAGAACAATAGGATCCAGAATGCAGCAGTCTGATTGGTCCACAGAAGCCACCCAATCCAGCTCCAGGTGGAAGTGAATCAGTAACCTGATTGGCCTGCAGGAGCAGCCAATCAGGCTTCTGAAGGAAGTGAATCTGCAACATGATTGGCCTGCTGGAGCAGCCAATCAGGCTTCTGGAGGAAGTGAATCTGCAACCTGATTGGCCTACAGGAGCAGCCCGGAATTAGCCAATCACGCGGGGCCCATTATGTAAATAATGTATATATAGCTAGACGTTTTGGGGAAAGTTTTATTCATTGCTACTACGAGCTGAATAAAGAGCATGAAATTCATAGAATCATAGAATCATAGAGTTGGAAGAGACCACAAGGGCCATCGAGTCCAACCCCCTGCCAAACAGGAAACACCATCAGAGCAGTCCTGACATATGTTTGTCAAGCCTCTGCTTAAAGACCTCCAAAGAAGGAGACTCCACCACACTCCTTGGCAGCAAATTCCACTGTCGAACAGCTCTTACTGTCAGGAAGTTCTTCCTAATGTTTAGGTGGAATCTTCTTTCTTGTAGTTTGGATCCATTGCTCTGTGTCCGCTTCTCTGGAGCAGCAGAAAACAACCTTTCTCCCTCCTCTATGTGACATCCTTTTATATATTTGAACATGGCTATCATATCACCCCTTAACCTCCTCTTCTCCAGGCTAAACATGCCCAGCTCCTTAGCCGTTCCTCATAAGGCATCGTTTCCAGGCCTTTGACCATTTTGGTTGCCCTCCTCTGGACACGTTCCAGTTTGTCAGTGTCCTTCTTGAACTGTGGTGCCCAGAACTGGACACAGTACTCCAGGTGAGGTCTGACCAAAGCAGAATACAGTGGCACTATTACTTCCCTTGATCTAGATGCTATACTCCTATTGATGCAGCCCAGAATTGCATTTGCTTTTTTAGCTGCCGCGTCACACTGTTGGCTCATGTCAAGTTTGTGGTCAACCAAGACTCCTAGATCCTTTTCACATGTACTGCTCTCAAGCCAGGTGTCACCCATCTTGTATTTGTGCCTCTCATTTTTTTGCCCAAGTGCAATACTTTATATTTCTCCCTGTTAAAATTCATCTTGTTTGTTTTTGCCCAGTTCTCTAATCTGTCAAGGTCGTTTTGAAGTGTGATCCTGTCCTCTGGGGTGTTAGCCACCCCTCCCAGTTTGGTGTCATCTGCAAATTTGATCAGGATGCCCTTGAGTCCATCATCCAAGTCGTTGATAAAGATGTTGAATAAGACCGGGCCCAAGACAGAACCCTGTGGCACCCCACTAGTCACTCTTCTCCAGGATGAAGAGGAACCATTGATGAGCACCCTTTGGGTTCGGTCAGTCAGCCAGTTACAAATCCACTGAGTGGTAGCATAGTCAAGACCGCATTTTACCAGCTTCTTTACAAGAATATCATGGGGCACCTTGTCAAATGCCTTGCTGAAATCAAGGTAGGCTACATCCACTGCGTTCCCTTCATCTACCAGGCTTGTAATTCTGTCAAAAACGAGATCAGGTTAGTCTGACATGACTTATTTTTCAGAAATCCATGCTGACTATTAGTGATCACAGCATTCCTTTCTAGGTGCTCACAGACTGTTTGCTTAATGATCTGCTCCAGAATCTTCCTTGGTATTGATGTCAGACTGACTGGGCGGTAATTATTTGGGTCCTCTCTTTTCCCCTTTTTGAAAATAGGGACAACATTTGCCCTCCTCCAGTCTGCCAGGACTTCGCCTGTTCTCCAGGAATTCTCAAAGATGACTGCCAGTGGTTCTGAGATCACATCTGCCAGTTCTTTTACATTCACACTCAACTCCGAGTATATTTCAGATGTCATTGGCTGTGGGGTAAAATAGGATGGATGCTGCTCTAGGCTGACCTCAGTTCTGGTCCACGGGACTCTTCTTACATTCACAAGGAAATAAAAACAAAGGCTCATTGTCACATAATCTCCCTGCAAACAAATGCTCAACAGAGACTGGACAGAGTCTAACCTCCACATAAACTTTGTGCAAGGCAATAAAGGTGAATAGTCAAGAAGCTTTTGGTGTGTATACTCTTGTGGGCTAAAATAAATTGCTCGTCCAATTCCAAATGCTGTGTCAAAATCAGCTGAATTCTGCAACATCCAAATCTTACATGTTGACAAATGTGCATGATTCCTATTATACTGAGGCATTTATTCGGCATTTTTATTTTTTGCTAGTTTGCACAGTCTCTTCTGGCTTTGTTGCAAACAACAAGGACAATCTTTGTTTCAACCATTGGATATTTTGTTCAGCCCCCTCTCTAGCGTCTGAGATTTCAGCAGGCCTTATTAACACACATTCATAAGCTTCACTTCATAGCCATGAAGCTAGAAATTTGAGGTGGCTTGTTTTTTATTTAAATGAAAGCTGGGATTCTCTGGAAGTTTAATCCCATTTCTACATTCTGTGCAATCACAACATACAATCAGCTCTATGCAATTGCTTGCATAAGAAGCCACAGTGGTAGTCTATCGTGTGAAAAGGCAAAACTAGAAAATCTGAATTTGGTACAAAATCCTACACCTAATGTAGTTTGCAAACTCAGCTCAAGAAGGACTCTAGACTTTAGCAGATCTTGGTGCTAGGAAACAAACGTCCTTTGTAATAGTTTTCTGGATAGCACACATAAGTGTCTACCAATATGTTAAAAAACTTCATTGAAGCTCAAGTTAAAGAGGGAGTGTTCTTTGATCCTTCCTCCTCTTTAGAAACAAGCACTGACTTCAATGTCCTTCAGTTTGTTTTTAGAGTTTTGGAGATACGTGGACAAGAGTAGACCAGGCATGAGATGTATTATATATAAAAAAACAAGGCTTGTGACAGTGGTTGTCTTTATAACATTGTTAAGCTGTTTTGTGGGTGCTCATTGATGGAACGACAGGGTTAAAACACAAGAGCTCTCCTGGATCAGGCCAAAGGCCCATCTAGTCCAAGGGTATAACTATATTAAATACAAGGGATAAACCAGACTTGAACTGGGTTGTGTTTTAGCAAGATTGTAGCAGACGCGGAAAACCTTTGATCCTCCAGAGGTTGGTGAACTACAACTCCCATTAGCTCTTGCCATTGGATGCCAAGCTGAAGAGCCAAAAAGCAAAGAAGATCCAGAATTGAGAAGATCCATTTGGGGGCACCAAACTTTGGCCTCACAAGGGCACCATATTATGCCAAAGACCGCCCCTGGCTGAGGCAGAGGAACTTCAGCTGGGCTCCCCTGCCATTTCCCTAACATCAGAATGTAGCAGTCAGCCACAAAGACCTGAAAATAGGTTACTAGTGCTTAACTGAGTTTAAGAGACCCTCCCCAAGCCAGAATCCCTTATGCTCGACTTTCACAGTGACTATGTTTGTTATCCACAACTTTGGGCTGCAGGTTGCTTATTGCCATCAAGTGATCAAAGCCATCTATCTGGCGGTTCCCTCACTGCGAGAAGCCAAGTTACAGGGAACCAGGCAGAGGGCCTTCTCGGTAGTGACACCTGCCCAATGGAATGCCCTCCCATCAGATGTCAAAGAGAAAAATAACTACTAGACTTTTAGAAGACATCTGAAGGCGGCCCTGTTTAGGGACGCTTTTAATGTTTAATAGACTATTGTATTTTAATATTCTGTTGGAAGCCGCCCAGAGTGGCTGGGGAAACCCAGCCAGATGGGCGGGGTATAAATAAATTATTATTATTATTATTATTATTATTATTATTATTATTATTATCTCCAGGATTTGAAAATGTGGACTTGTAATTCTTGGGTGGGTTTGAGACCAGCTGCCTTTGCTTTTACAACATTAGCACAGGGCCCTTCCAGGCATGGTTATTTTTTTATGGATTGTGCTCACTCACGATGGCAGTTATTCGAAATGTGTCTTTCAATACTCTTCGAACCTGCAAAAGTTTCATGGCAGATATACTGCTTCACATTCGATCTGCATGCGTCTCTTAATCTCCTGCAGAAAACCTGTAACTTTTTAGACCACAAATGTTACAGTTTATGTTATTATTATTATTCCTGCTTCTGTTGCTCTAGAGTGCAAGAGTGCCTCTCCAGACAGTAAACATAAGAATATTGGGGAAGAACTAATAAAGCAGAATGTTGTGTGGACGGCCCAGTATAAATCCATCACTAAAGCATTATCATTGCGTCAATGTTGCAGAATACACAGGGTAAGAAAGAGGCCACTCACGAGGGGCTCTGAGTATAAAGCAAAGGTCTGTACTCCTGTTCTAAAGTAAGAGAGAGATTCTTATCCCACAGGAGAGGTGAGTACTGAGAGTCCACAAATCCTTAATGGGTCTTGTGTTTGCACTTTGCTAGGGGTGGGGCTCTGAACTTCTTTTGTCCGTCTACAGCCAAGAGGTGGCAATAGCCTTGGCAGCCAGATCCCTATCACTTTCAGTCTGTTCGCAAGCCTCCAGCACAGAGGAAGCATGAATCTGGAAGCATGAACCTGCCCATCGTCCTTGCCACATTTGGAATTGTGATAGTTCACCCTATATCAGACGGTAAGTCAGGTCTAACCTTAATGCGTACTTCTTGCACGTGAGGAAAGGAGCTAATTCAGAGCAGTCTGCTCTGCTCTAGTTGCACAGTGTGAAAACCAAGGAATCTAGGTTTTGCTTTGCTGTCGTTTGGTAGAGAGATCCTTTTGCACAAACAGGCTGCGAGACAGCCACACTGAGAAAACCTCCGCATTTTAGAGGTGCAGATTGGAAAATGGACAGTTTCAACAAGGAAATATGATCTGGGCAAAGGTCATTTCTGTAAGTGATCTGTATCACTTTTTTAAAAATCCGGTAAATATGCCTTCTCCGATTAGCCTTTGGCATGCAAACCTTGGGTGAGCTGGCCTTGTGAAGGAGAGCTTGGGGTCACAGTGCGCAACTTTAGGAAAAAAGAAAGCAACCGTCAACAGCTGCAAAAAGGGGGAGGACATCTGCTTTGAATGCAGAAGGTTCAATCCCAGGCACAACCCAGATAGGGCAAGGAGAGAGGAAGAGAGCTCTACCTGAAGCCCTGGAGAGCAGCTGCCTATCAGTTCAGTGTAGAGAATACTGAGCTCGAGGGACCATTGGTCTGACTCAATATAAGGCTGTTTCCTATGTTTCCGAGTTGCCTCAGAGGAGGTGCAGAAGGCAAGGATGGAGGAGTTTCCATTTAAAGGAAAACCTTCCTAATTCGCACTTTCAGAAACACTACACTAACCGAGGCACAGCTATCCTGCAAAATCCGTGCTGCTCTGAATTTCACAATGCAGTTCTCCAGTCAAGAAAACTGTACAAGAATGCATCTACTTGGGGAAAGTGTGCATAAAAATGCATATATCAGCAAAAAATAACATACAAAATTTGCAGGGAGGAGATCGCTTTGCAAAAAACGTGTATATGTGGCAAGGCTGCATTAAAGCGTGCATATGATGAGAAATTTGCACTAAAATGCTAACGGATTTTAATGATTTACCCCCCCCCCCAAAAAAACCACACCTCAAAGTTATGGTGGAAGACTGAACTTGACTTGGGGAAAATGAGAAACAGAGAGAAAATGAAATTGACATGTTTGTCCATCTCCAGCAAAGGCATGGGTGGGTTGATCTTTCCCATCTGAAGCAGTTTTCCCAGTTCAGCCCATCTAACCAGGATCTTCAGGCTCTTCCCTCCACCTGTTCTTCGTTTCCATCATCATCATCATCATCATCACCACCAAGTTATTTTAAACCTTGGATCTTGTGAACAGAGTGTGTTTGCATGGGTGGGATGGAAGCAGCATTGCCTGAATTATGTATTTCGTTTTTTCATACTTTTAACCACAGGTCTAAGTCAGGCGGTGCTGCTGTGTCAAACAAAACTAATTTTACCTTTCAACGTCAAAAGTGGGCACGGCTCAGGGTACATCCCAAATGCTTGGATTACAGTGTTTCCTTCTGCAAACGCCAGTCCATTGGTGCTCCTTATGTACCCCTTTAGTAGCCAGGCCATATTGAAGCTTTCAATATGTGTGGCCATATGGGTCAAGACAGCTTACAGGAACAGCTTTTAGGTCTTACCTCATTTGTAAACATTAGAGCCCCCCTCTAGACACCCTTTTATTGCCTTCACAGTGGTACCTCATGTTAAGAACTTAATTCGTTCTGGAGGTCCGTTCTTAATATGAAACTGTTCTTAACTTGAAGCACCACTTTAGCTAATGGGGCCTCCTGCTGCTGCCATGCCGCCATGGCGTGATTTCTGTTCTCATCCTGAAGCAAAGTTCTTAACCCGAGGTACTATTTCTGGGTTAACGGAGTCTGTAACCTGAAGCATCTGTTACCCGAGGTACCACTGTATTCATTATGTTTTGCACTCAAGGTGCTATGTGGGTGGTCATTTGGGACCCCACTTTCAATGCTATTTGTTCCTGTGTAAGTTTTGGGGTCGCAGGTGGCGCTGTGGTGTAAACCACTGAGCCTTGGGCTTGCCGGTTGGCGGTTCAAATCCCCACGACGGGGTGAAGTCCCGTTGCTCGGTCCCAGCTCCTGCCAACCTAGCAGTTCGAAAGCACATCAAAGTGCAAGTAGATAAATAGGTACCACTCTGGCAGGAAGGTAAACGGCGTTTCCGTGCGCTGCTCTGGTTTCGCCAGAAGCGGCTTAGTCATGCTGGCCACATGATGCAGAAAAACTAACTGCAGACAAACGTCAGCTCCCTCAGCCAGTAAAGCGAGATGAGCACCGCAACCCCATAGTCGTTCACGACTGGACTTACCTTTTTTACAGTTTTGGGGTGGTCATAGTGTTCTATATCCAATCAGCACATAGCTTCCTGCTAAAACCCCCTAACTTTTCATACTGCACATATTTTGGGGCTTTTTTTGTCTTGTTTTTGTTGCACTGTAGCCCCTCCGGAAGGGGTAGCACTGGGGATGCAAAGCAGAGCACGGCTACTTGCCATGATGGCTATCCACGGTCAAAGGCACAATGGGGCTTCCTCTCCTCTTGCATTTTCCTCCAACTCTCTGGAGCAGATTTTGAGGGCACCTTCAAGAAGGTGGCTGAGGGTGTCAGCCCTTGAAAAGCACCAGCAGAGCTGCACACATTTCTGGATGTAAATATGAACAGGATTGCTGATCAACAATACACAGAGTTTAAAGAACACAGAGGGTAAAGTCTTTGGGCACTGCAGAGTATTACCTTCCGCGAGCTGCTATAATAGTAGGGTAAGGATATAGAGCACTTAGTATGCAAATCTTGTGGTTTCTCTTCTAGGAAATCTTGTTTTGTTTCTTCCCCACAAGGAAGCTCAGTGAAGTATGCAAGACCTCCTGGGTGCATAAACATACTTCCCTGAGGTTTGCAGTCCTGAATGCTCCAACTTGGGAGCAAGCCTCCTTGAACACAGTGTGGCTTATTTTCTGAATAAACATGCATAAGTTCTGCTTGAAACTTGTCATTAATAGGAAGAGTTCTAACAAAGCTTAACAAGGAAATTCAGATCTAATCTGCTGAATGGATTGTCGAGGTGGATTCACATTTCATCCCGATTCAGAATAAAGGAACACAGAAAACTATTATGAACAACCCAATTCTATGTACAGTGGTACCTCGGGTTAAGTACTTAATTCGTTCAAGAGGTCCGTTCTTAACCTGAAACTGTTCTTAACTGGAAGCACCACTTTAGCTAATGGAGCCTCCTGCTGCCGCCGCGCCGCCAGAGCCCAATTTCTGTTCTTATCCTGAAGCAAAGTTCTTAACCTGAAGCACTATTTCTGTGGTAGTGGAGTCTGTAACCTGAAGCGTATGTAACCTGAAGCATATGTAACCTGAGGTACTACTGTATGTTTTAAACTGAATGCAAGTTTCAATGCAACATATACCCAAGTAGGGAGCTCTTTCAACAGCCCGCCACGTTGATTAGCTGTAAGGCACTGCTGCAGGGTTTGTAAAGATCAACTAATCCTTTCTGGGAAGTGTTCACTTCCTTGTTTTCATAGATATGGGTGCAGGAAGGATGAAACCTTTCTTTCCAAAACACAGGTATGTGTGCATAGAGCAATACTCTGCAGAGATGTGTGCATGGGCCTGGTGGCTTGAACAATGCTGGGAGTGGCTATTATATAGCATATTCAAAGTGTGTGGTAGTGGCGTTTTCAAAGGAGACTTCCAACAGTCCTGCAAAGTAGGTCAGTGTCATTATTCTCATATTGCATGGGGAGGATGATGAGGCAGTGACAGAGCGGTTTGCGTAACGCCACCTGGTGAATTCAAGGCGGAACCAGGAACGTCTTGATTTGCGGCTCAGCCTCTTCTTAGCCGTTACATGTTGTTCTGATTTCACTCTCTCAGAAACCCAAATGTGTCCTTGGTATGGTTTTATTGAGTGCCCCATAGCAGTGGTGGGGAGAAGAAGACAATGTAGGAAGCAGCCTTCTACCAGAAGAGGCTGGGCAGGGTGGTCCTGCCAGAGAAGGAGAGACACTTCACCACTTGGATGACAAAGGCATGGTGGGTGGCACATTTAGAGGGGGTTCAAAGCAAGGATGGAGGAGCAGCAGTGTTATGTGCTAACCTTGGATCCTAGAACAATAGGCAAGTAGGATCCTAGAATGCAACAACTGGTTGGCTTGCAGGAGAAGACCAATCAGGCTCCAGGAGGGAAGCAGAATCAGCCAATCAGACAGGACTCATTGTTTAAATAATGTATATAAAAGCCTGAGGTTTGGGGGCAATTCAATCACTGTTTTACAAGCTGCAATAAAGAGCATGAAATCACTACAGGACTCTGAGTATATTTCAAGCAGAAAAAGGGAAAAGAGTTGGGTGATACGCAAACCTTGCCACAGCCATTTAGAGCACAGCATGGGAGGAAGGAAAAGGCATCAATACTGGGGCTAGCCACCTTTGTGGCAAGTCAAGGAGGGAGAGGCTTAATTGAAAGGAGCACCTTATGCACCTGATGACAGAGAGATGGACAGGGAAGTGAGGCTGTGTCAATAACAGAAGAAGAGCCCTGAAGATGAGAAGGGTTCTAAATGCAACTGCATGAAGACTTCACCAGGAGCTTTCTGGGGCTCTGATCCATAGTTGGGACAATGAAAGTTCCCACATGGGGCTACCTGGAGATTCTGGGGTTTGAATTTGGGACCTTCTGCATGGAAAACAGGTGCTCTCCCGCTGAGCTTTGGCCCTTCCCTGAAAATATAACGTGCTGTTTTCCACAATACCTGCACTTTCAGGTAGGTAGGCCAAAAGTAGGTCAGCGACATGAAGAGGCAAGATCTGAAGGGAAAGAAACACTCCTTATGAAGAGATTGCTTCTCAGTGAAGAGGTCAACGGTCACAGATAAAATGAGTTTTAGTTCCTGTTTCTCTTCTTTTCTTTCCTAGAGGCTATAACCGATACAGGTGCCAAAAGCTCAAAGAACGACATGTTTCACCCTTACCATTTAAGCCTACCCCTCGACCCTTCTTTCTAAATATCTCCTGCCTTAAACCAGTCCCTCACCTTGAAACAGTGGTCCAGCTGGAGGGCTTTGGTAGTAAAGGACAAGTGAGGCTGACAAGTGAGTCAGTCCCCTGTTCCACAAAAAAACCCGCTTGTATTTTTATGTATTGCTAAAAAGGAAATGGCGCTCACTTCTGAACACTGAAAATAGAAGGAATGGAGTGCGGCTTCTACCTCCTATGCAAAGCCAGCGCAACAGCACAAGCAAGCCTAATGGTCATCAAAGTGAGAGGTGCACCTGGGAACCCCTACAAGGTAGCAGAGGGTGTTAGGGCACAACTGTTTGCACTGGGGTGTGCTAACCCAAGAACTGAACTCTGGCACCCTCTCTGCTGTTGCGATAGATTCTTGGCGATCTCTCAGTGCTACAACACAGCCATCTTGATGGGATCAGCAAAATGGTTTAGCCCAGCCTTGTTCATTTCATCAAATCACAAACTTACAGAGTGGAAAAGTACCGTGAAGGGTCATTTAATCCAGTCCCCTGCACTACATCACACCTAGGGATTGTCCTGCATGTTATTTTATAACCTGGTCAGAAAATTAGAGTAAGTGAAAACTCTTAGGCATCAGCAACCGAAGTTAGCCCTCAATGCTGTATTCTAGCATACATAACAGCAAGGGAGAGAAAGTTGTTTAATAAGGACTTCAGACTGTAATAACTCTGGGAACTTTTTTTCTTTTAAGCAGTGAATGGGGAGAGGACAATGAGACAATGAGGGGCAAGTTCTTTTTAGTGTTAGGACACTGGGTGGAGGAGCTAAGGCAGGGGTAGGCAACCTAAGGCCCATGGGCTGGATGTGGCCCAATCGCCTTCTCAATCCGGCCCATAGACTGTCCGGGAATCAGCGTGTTTTAACATGAGTAGAATGTGTGCTTTTATTTAAAATGCTTTTCTGGGTTATTTGTGGTGCATATGAATTCGTTCATTTCCCCCCCCAAAAAATGGTCTGAGGGACGGTGGACCCACAGCTGAAAAAGGTTGCTGACCCCTGAGCTAAGGCATGCACAACATGGTGCGAAAGTGGAAAGATTCTTACTATTTCTCTGTTCCCACAGAATTCTGATTAAGCGCAAAAGTGTGTCAGATTCCCCCTCATCATATGGTAGGGCATAAGCAGCTTCCTTATACCAATTCAGACCTTCTAGCTCAGGGTAGCCAATGCAATGACCTCCAAATGTTGCTGAACTACAACTCCCATCATCCCTGACCTTTGGGCATGCTGGCTTGGGATGATGGGAGCTGCAATCCATAAAATCTAGAGAGCACTATGTTGACTACCCCTGCTCTGTGCAGTGGTCTAGTTTCCAAATCAGCTGCAAATCTATATAGTTCTAGGCATCCTGGAAGTTTAAGTACAGTGCTACATGCCAGTTCAGAAGTAAGTCTCATTAAATTCCATGAGGTTTATTTACTCCCATCTAAGTGGATACACAGGGACACGGGTGGCGCTGTGGGTTAAACCACAGAGCCTAGGACTTGCTGAGCCGAAGGTTGGCGGTTCGAATCCCCGCAACGGGGTGAGCTCCCTGCTCCTGCCAACCTAGCAGTTCAAAAGCACGTCAAAGTGCAAGTAGATAAATAGGCGGGAAGGTAAACGGCGTTTCCATGCGCTGCTCTGGTTCGCCAGAAGCGACTTAGTCATGCTGGCCACATAACCCGGAAGCTGTCTGCGGACAAACGCTGGCTCCCTCGGCCAATAAAGCAAGATGAGCGCCGCAACCACAGAGTTGGCCACGACTGGACCTAATGGTCAGAGGTCCCTTTACCTTTAGTAAGTGGATACACACTAGGACTGCTGCCTAAAAGCTATTTTCTTTCTGTTTCTTTCAGCTGTGTTTCCTGTACTTTTTGACTGCTGCACAGAAGTAGCCCATCATATTCCCAGAAGATGGCTAAGAACAGTGGCAACGTTTGACATTCAGAATGGTGGCGATTTATGCAAAATATCCGCTGTGATGTAAGCGGTGGGAAGGAAAAAAAATGTTTGTGTGTGTGTTGTCTGTGTGCAACTTTGGAATGGTGAGAATGATCTGTAAATGATAAAGACAGTTTTATTTTAATTGGAATTCAAAGAGGAAGGTTAAGCTAGCAAGGAGCTGGAGTTCAAGGCTGAATTCCTGTTCCAAGAAACTTGGCATAAGTTCTTCTGAACTCAGTGGGAGTCACTTTTGAGTAACACAATCATGATTGTGCTACGAGGCTGCAATCCAGCAATGTGATGTGTGCACGCTAGCACACACAACTGATGATACCATATTTGCTTGATTAATCACCTGTTTTAAATCAGATTAATTGAAATCCATTTGCACATTGCTTTTTATTTCGATGTTGTAGGCAGTGTGTGGCTGTAATCATAAGCATACTTTCCTGTAAGCAAGCTCCACTGGACATTGCATGATTTAATTCTGAGTAAACATGGATAGGATTTATTGGGTGTTAGCTGTGTTAAATCTCTTGCGGCAGAAGCAACGAAGAGTCTTGCAGCCTCTTAGAAACCAAAAATAATAATAATCATGCCATAAGCTTTCATGGGACATGGAAAATTGGAAGGGGGCTGCAATATCACTTTTTTTTCTGAGTAGGAAAGGAAACTCATTTATTTCCAGGGAGTTAAAGGTAAAGGGACCCCTGACCATTAGGTCCAGTCACGGATAACTCTGGGGTTGCTGCACTCATCTCGCTTTACTGGCCAAGGGAGCCGGTGTACAGCTTCCCGGTCATGTGGCCAGCATGACTAAGCCACTTCTGGCGAAACCAGAGCAGTGCACAGAAACATTGTTTACCTTCCTGCCGGAGCGGTACCAATTTATCTACTTGTACTTTGACGTGCTTTTGAACTGCTAGGTTGGCAGGAGCAGGGACCGAGCAATGGGCGCTCACCTCGTTGCGGGGATTCAAACCGCCGACCTTCTGATCGGCAAGCCCTAGGCTCTGTTACCTCTCAAGAAACCATATTAAACCTAAGATTGAAGAACACCGTATCACAACACTCAGAAGCCTCTATCTGAGGCCCCTGTGTCCCTCTCCAGTATGGTAGGGATGGACTCAAAAATGCTTAAATTTGGCTGGATCTGTTCATACATACTGGTTGCTTCAAAGTATAAGCTTTTAAGGTTACTTTTTCTAACAACAACAACAATAAAACTGGTCTTTATTTTCTTATCCCAATAGCATTCACACAAAGCACAAAAAGCTGTGTGTGAGCCCAGAGAACAGACATGTGAAGAGGTGGATGAAGCAGGTGGCCAAGGGTCGCTGGAGAACTGGCCATCACCCCAGGAAGAGAAAGAAAGCCAAAAGGAGAAGGAAAAGTGGGGGGAAAGAGCCCTGTCTCAGCTGCTGAAGCAACCATAGAGATGCAACCATCTTTACTGCAGACTTTGTCACCTTGCTGCCCTCCAGATGTTTTGGACTACAGTTCCCATCAGCCAAAGGCCACATGGAGAAACATCTGGAGGGCACCAGGTTGGCGAAGGCTGTTGCCCTGTGGAATAAATTCAGGAAGCATCTCATGACGATCTGTGCTGATGTTCAGAAAACACCCGACCACAATTTGGGTTTTCCAAACCTTTTGAATTTCCCCTTCATTCTAAAAGCAGAGATGGGGAAACCTGTAGCCCCTCCAGTTGTTATTGGACTACAACTCTCATCATGCTGGCAGGGCCTGATGGGAACTGTAGTGCCAACACGCATTGAAAATCACAAACAAACTGAGGTAAGCTTTGAGCTGGTACTGGATTGGAAATTGCAAAATAAAAATCATGAAAGCCCTAAAACTTGGTTGAAGATATTTCTCAAGGTTCTCTAGTCTCTTTATTTTGTTGTTTTACATGTTTTGGTTCTGCTTTTATTTTGCAACCTGCTATTCTTTGGTCTTCTGTGGTTAGCACCTGCCCAGTTGCCATGAAATATCCTTGCTTCCAGAAGGAATTCTGCTACTTGCTGTGGCCTCCGTTACTCCGCCTCTTGGTTCTCTTTGGCTTAGTCTGGAGATGACACAAACCATCACTAAGCACGAACAAGCAAACATGAGGAATCGAGGGGACTGAGCCCAGTTTGGCTTAGGGTGTCATCTGAACCCAGTCTTGTGGTTTAGCTTTTTGTGAGCAAACTGCAAGCCATAAACTGCAGGGTAAAGATTGGTTACATGTCATGGTAAGTCTAGAGCCAAACCACGAGCCCGTGACAAACCATGGTTTAGTTTATCACAGCACAGCATCAAAATGACCAGCAAGGAGGGAAGTGGATTGTCAGGGAACTGCCATCGGAGCCAGAGGTGGAGGGAAGGCTCCAGAGGGATGGCGGAGAGGGTCCCAGTAGGGAGAGAGGCAGCCCGTCTGCTGGGGAAGGAAATCTGCGTAACACCAGTAGAGAAGGGGGGCAGATGGGGGAATCGGAGAGGAGGCTCCAAGACTCCTCGCCGGAGACCAGCGGAGAGAGTACGGGTCCTCCGCTGCCCACACCCTCCCTGCGCAGAAGGCTTCCGCGCAGGGAGTCTAGGCGGAGACTAGGCGTCAAGGAACTTTTGTGCTGGAAGAAGTTCAAGAAATGCCCACTGACGGATTCTGCCAGCGACTGAGACAGTCACGATGCTGGAGGCTGTTCAGTCAGAAAGGGTTTAACCGGGTAACCTCGCTAGGAGTGGCAGCAACTTACGCACGAGCAACCCCTAAATCCATTACATGGATGTACTGTGCTCGCTCCTCCAGGAGGTTGCATGTTTGTGCTAAATCATGGATTGACTTAACACGACATGTGAACTGGGCTATTGTGCAAAAGATTTATTTCTTCCTCCTGTTGCTTCATTGCTTAATTCCGTTTCTCCTAGCATTACTTCATGTCTTAATCCATGTTGCAGCAAATCGTATTTGTAATCGATACCTATGTGTGTTCTTCTGAGGATCACATCCCAGTGGCGAGCGAGGCCTAAGGCAAAAGTGCGCAGGCAGTAAATGTGGATTTGATGTTTACACCCACTTGCTCACCCTTCATCCAGGCAACCAAGAGATGCTAGCAGAGTTCAAGGACAAATTCCAGCCAGGGTAAACACATTCAGGGTGAGAAGTAGAGGCAATGAGGAAGGGAGCCTGGGGAGCATTCTGAAGGCTGCATTAGATCCTCAAACCTGAAGACCCCACTTGTTCACTTAGAAAGGGAGCACCACAGAGATTTTGTACCATGTTCTAGTATGTTTGAGTTGGACTGTGGTGGGATGGCCATCTGTCATGGATGCTCTAGCTGAGATTCCTGCATTGCAAGGGGCTGGGCCTTGCGGTTCCTTCCAACTCTACAATTCTATGATTCCACAAGGAGAAGACATTCAAATTAATGAAGAAGAAAAGAAGGGCAATGAAGATGGATTATGAGTGCAGTCCCCAGCAAAATGGATTAAGACATGAGACAAATCGGAGGAAAATAAAAACAATAAATATAAATAAATAAATAACAAATGTAATAAATCTAAACAACAAATCTTAATTTCACATATACAGTGGTACCTCTGGTTAAGAACTTAATTCGGTCCGGAGGTCCATTCTTAACCTGAAACCGTTCTTAACCTGAAGCACCACTTTAGCTAATGGGGTCTCCCGCTGCGGCCGCGCGATTTCTGTTCCCATCCTGAAGCAAAGTTCTTAACCCGAGGTACTATTTCTGGGTTAGCGGAGTCTGTAACCTGAAGCGTCTGTAACCCTCGGTACCACTGTACAGATGTGGAGTCTGAACTGGCAATGACTGACCAGGAATGAGGCTGTTGTGGATCTGTAGCACTTCAACAAGATATCTGCTCATCCCTGATGAGCAGCAATGTAAATATGGGTAGCCTGGGCTTGCCTGAATTCTTAGAATGGAGTCTGATGGATTGGGGTGGGGTCAGGAGAGCCTTCTTACGACTTGTGTGTGTGGAGGAGGAGGGGTGGCTTTGCCTGCCATTGGCTCTGGCGCTACCAACAGCGGACCGCCCGGCCTTCCACCCAGCAGGCCACAAGTGGAAACCGTCCCCACTGAGCCCCCACGGAGGCGAGGCGCAGGAGCATTCCTGCTGCACCCTATCCTGGTGGTCAGGAATTCTGCACCTTGGTTGTGCAAATGCCATGTGGCTGTAAGACAGGCTTCCTTAAACTCGGCCCTCCAGATGTTTTTGGCCTACAGCTCCCATGATCCCTAGCGAGCAGGACCAGTGGTCAGGTGTAGTGAAGTTAGGAAGAAAGAAGGTTCAGCAACAGGTTAGGAGAGCAATGGGAGGGACCTCACCATTTCATCCAGGAACCATACCCTAGTTTTCATAGCCTTCACCACAAAGACCGCTACCACGTGAGAAATCCGTGGATCAGCGTCTACCAGTAAAAACTTTACTTGGTCCTCAGAGTTGACTATTGATTTAGGTATAGTTTGTAACATCGCATCCCTGAAGGCCGAATAGATGGGACAATACAACATGTAATGTATGAGATCCTCTTTGGTTCTCATATAACAAGGACATATCCGCTGCTCTACTGGGATTTTTGCATATCTGCCTGACAGATAGGCCGTAGGAATGGTTTGAAAACGGGCCATAGTAAAGGCTCTCCGAAGAGTGGGATTGGTGATATTCGCCAAGTAGTTGGCGCAGATAAAGACTGCTTTCAGACGGGAAGCCAGTGGGAGGACCCTGGGATCTGTATTTTTGTGGTATCTAACAGAGCGTCTCTCTCAGGATCCATTTCCGGACTTTGTCCGGGCTCCACCGTTTGAGGATATTAAACTCCGGTAGGGTGTATCTAACCAGGATCTCAGATAAGTTTTGGCGCCAAGTGGTATTCTTTTGAAAAGATACGAAGGCTTGTTTGGCCAATAAGGTGTTTGAAGAGTTTGCAAGGTTGATGTAAAATCGTAGGAATCTTAAGTGGGCCCTGGCAGACACAGAGGGTAAACCAACCTCCACCCTCAAGAAGGCTGCTGGGGTTCCTTGAGGAAGGCCTAG